GTCAACATGGCTGCAACACTTTCCGCCCCCATGAAGTGACAAAATCAACACGAATGTGATAAGCAAGTTCACTATGTAAACACACGCTGCTTTTATAATTTTACACACTGATCACATCCAACAATCTACACAGCATGGTTATGTCATCTTTACCAATTGGCCAACTTGACAACGAAAAATGCCCCCAGACAGACGAACGATGATCAAGTTAGTAAACTTTGTTTTGATACCAACCAGGGCAGATGTACTATTACCTTTGTTATTTGGTTTAGTGATCTTCATTGTTATTTTGACTTTCAATATGTCCTCCTTTTAACTTGACCTAACTCGTCTTTTTTCTCACCTCTTAACTCTTTGTTATATATATACTGAGTGGATTTTGTAAATTCTGGTTTAATAATACTTTGATAAAGCTATTAGCAGCAGCGTTAAATAGCGAAACGTCAGTAAAAACGACAATACCGTTTTGTTTTTCATTCGTTGGGAAATACGAAAGAAACCTTTGTTATAATGAATATCATATACCCAATGCGCAAATTTTTTCAAACTGTTAAAAGTGAACTTGGTTTGAACATATATAAATTGATGCTTCGTAATTAAATCAATCAACCAGATCAAAACCTAAAACGGATCACTGACAAAAGACTCACTCACAAGTTTGCAAATATTTTTAGCATTTTTAGTGCATTGCATACTGGATGTATCTTCGTAGTCTTTATGCCAAATAGCTTCCACGCCGTTTTCATACACTTTGAAATCCACGCCATAGACTAAATCATCTACAAAAGCACAGTATTAAAAGAAAGTGGGATAGAAATGTAGTTTTAATTGATGAAGGTTGCTGATTGAAAAATTTAAAAGAATGAATAATGAGTGAACCCGGAGTATCCCTTTTCGATGACTAATTCGTTATCACCAGGTTCTACATTCATATGCCAGGATAAGTGAAGAATTATTTTTAAAACAATTAGTTCCCCTTAGGAATTTAGACAAAGCAATAAGAAGACATTATTTGTCTGAATCGTGTAATGTATTTACGCTGCACATTTCGAACAAACCGATTCATCAGACACGGACTTGTCATGGGAATGTGTATATATGAAATTAATAAAAAGTTAAGAGGTGAGAAAATAGACTACTTAGGTCGAGTCAAAAGGACATACTGAAGGTGAAAAAACAATGAAGATGAATGACTAAACCAAGCAGCAGAGGTAATAGTACATCTACCCTGATATCAGAACAAAACGAAGTTTACCAAGGAAGGTTTGTTGTGGGCTTCCAAAAATTTAAGGATACTCCCCAAAACACATTTTATGGATAGGATTAAAAGACAGTGAGTCCTCCTTATGTATGTATGTTCATACGTACATTCAAATTAGTAAGTACAGTGGGATGTGACATCATTTTTCACATGTTCAAAGGGCTTAGATGGATAGACATATTGGCTTCACATTCCCTATTATTATGATATTAGCTGCATAAAAAGTCTTTTTAACCACAGCAGCGTTCATTCGTTGTCTAGTTATCAAGCTGCTTTGATGCCCCACATAGGGTAGCTTGATGTACACGTCTTTCTCAGAGTCAAAAAAATTCCGTCTTCTTATTGCTTCGTCTAAAAGATTATTGTTGTTTTCAATTATTGGTTTTTGTAGGAATTTTGTTTGATTGGTTGGAGGATTTCATCACTAGCTGACATCAGTTTGAGAACCGTTGAAAAACAACAAAAGAGTACTGGACAGCTGCTTCGTCAACCTAGTTTGGGACTCTTAAGCAGTGTGCACCCCCACCACGCTTCGAACCCAGGAACTTCTGGTTAAAAGGCTAGCGAGTTCGTAGTTCATTCATCACCCACTGGGATTCAATCCACTGGCCAGCCCATGTATTCTAACTTCTGCCAATTCATGCACAACATAGCACGACCACTTCTCAATGTCTTCTTCGATGAGTTACTGCCTCATCTTCAACCTGCTGCACCCTACTGGTCACGGCTTCCCACTAGTGAGCATCAAATCGATTTTCAAGTATTGATTTTGTCCTGACTTTGTTTGATTTGTTAGAGGGTTTCATCATGAGGTAACATGAGTTAGAGAGCCATTGGAAAACCTGCCAGGGAGTACTAGGACGAAACAGCTGTCTGGCAGTACTCCCTGTTGGTATTCCAATGGTTCTCTAACTGATGTCAGCTTATGATGTAATCCTCCAACCAATTATTGTTATTAACAAGATGAATGGTGTTTTAAATAACACTGAATCAATCAATAGTGTCGAGACGTGATTACAGTTCATTGAAGCATCAGAATTTATGAATTTATAGGTTCGATAGCAGGCCAGGAGGGTAGCGATAGTGGTTGGACTTCTGTTGATTGAAGTGTCCGGTATCTAAAGGCCTCCGATAGAAAATGGAGAAAGATTCTTCAATATCAACTAGCTGTATGGCGTGTTTGAACTAGGTGCTATAATATGAAACTATTAGTTATTCTGGAGTATGAAAGTTCCTAGTGCCACGGTCAGTATAGCTGACTCCACACGAGAAGCAGTTAAATCGATAGTCACTGGTGAGACTGACTAGTCTGAACACTTCACCTCTGGATTGAGGAATCACAGCCTTCTTTGCGGAAAATATAAACTGTGGCTTACAGGCATTTCAAGTTCTTTGAATCGATTCTTCCCAATTGGTTGGTTATTCTTTCCCTTAGTACACCAAAATTTGAGTTGTAGTCGTATATTATGTAGAGAGACTTCTTGTTAACAGATACGGAGGAATTCCTTTCTGCCCTCTTGGCCACATGTTTACTGGTGACGTATTCAGGGTACCTGTTTTCATTTAACGTGCCGTAGACAACCTTAAGTTCGTCTTTAATTACATCTTCTGAACAAATAGCTCTGACCCCGCAGCTGAGGATCTTCACGAAAGGTGCGAAAATGTGTATATTGATCTATCCAAGTAATTTTTTTGGGCAAATTCCTTCTAATCCTCCTGCTTGATCTTCTAGTCATTAGGACATCTAACAAGGCAATTTGACTTCGGGATTCTTCTGCACACGTGAATACAATAGCTGAATGTACTTCATTGAATTGAAATATTATTACGTCCTCATCTAGATCATTTCCACAATGGATGAATTAATTTTTATTCCTTTAGGTTCCTAGAGGAACATAGGGCTCCTTCAAGCTGGAGCTTTGAAGTTTCGGTAGCGTTGGTATTTGTTTTTATGGGATGGGGTTGGCTGGCTTCATACCCAACTTTCCCTCTTTATCAGTCTTACTACTGGCTCAGCAAGGTAAAGGAGTGCGTCTGTGGCCGTGGATCAACTTGGCGCACAGATTGGATGAATGTATTATCCTTATACAGGCGATAAAATCAAAATTTTCTGTTGTTCCTGAAATGTAATCACCCATCGATACTGATGATTGATTCCATTTAATTTATTATTATTATTGTTTCCTATAGTTCCTAGAGGAACATAAGGCTTCAACCCCACGTTTCCATTGCGTTCAGTTTTCTGACAAAGTTATTACCTGGCTCTACATCTACCTACATGCTTTCATCTCATCTTCACATTACCTCCCCATAAATGTCACCCTCGCACTGACGAGCGGCTCGCTGTTTCCCATTCGAGTTCCACTCATGCAATGGCCTGGTGTGTGATGTCACTTGACGGTTTGTTTTCTCAGAGTATGACCAATCAACCTCCATTTCTTCCTGCACATTTGTTGCACAGTCGGTTCCTGCTGGGTTGGTTCCTTCATTGCCAGAGATCCCTGGTGCTTATCTTTTCTGGCCAGTCATCTGATCTTGAGTATTGATTGATGAAGGTTTGTAGTTTATTCGAAGTGCTCTTCATGACGCGCCAAGTCTCTGGTCCGTATAGCGAATAGCACTGTCTTCATACCGCAGTTGAAATTCTGGATCTTATGTTTCATGCTGAGTGCTGTTGACCTCCACACAGACTTGGGAGTAATGAAAGCTTGCCTTGCTTTCTCGATCCCGTTCTTTGATATCCTCGTGAGTTCCGTCCGCCTGCAATTGAAACGATGCTTCCCAGTTAGGTAGATAGATAGGTGGGTAGGTAAAGGAGGTCACTTCTTTCAAATTTCTCAAATTTATGCTGATTGTTATCTGTTGTTGTGATTGTTGTTGCTGTTGTCCAGGGATATTCATCACCCACCTCTGTTTTCTCTATGTTCGCCTGAAGTCCTATCTTCTCTGGATGCTTCTTCTGCCAACTTCCCTTGCATATCTTCCAGTTTGTGGAAAATCAGACATGTATCACAACGGTGAAGTCCAGATCCTTCCAGTTTTTGTATGGGTCCATTTTATGCTTGTCTCCTTGTTGCCTGCCGTCTGTCTATCGCAGTATCCAGTCTACCGCAATCAGGAAAATCATTGGAGGTAGTAGGCAGCCAGCCTTGTCTTACTCCCGCAATGTAATTTATAACAGCATTAATATTTTTCAATAGTTGCTTTGTAATGATTAGATTTGTTTTGACGAGTTGATGACGGATTGATATCAGTTAGAGAAGCATTGAAAACCAGCACTGGAGTACCGGACAGCTGTTTCGTCAGCCTTGTTCGGGAATCATCGGCAGTATGCACCCACTGGGGTTCGAGGCGTACAGCTGATGATTCCCGAACAAGGCTGACGAAACAGCTGTCCAGTACTCCTTTGTTGGTTTTCAATGCTTCTCTAACTGATACTAATGTTGTTAATAAGCATATATGTGTAATTATTATGGTCAAGTAACTGTAGAACCTGATGACAGCATCTCCACATAACCCTCTTCTCTTCAGTCGTCTTTAGTCAGCTCCACGACTGCTCCTAATCTCTCATCTCCTCTTCATACGATCTCCTCCACATCAAACTTGAGCCCACATTCAATTTATCGTTTTCCATTTAAGCTCCGTTATCAGTTCCTTACATATGATTTCACTGAAATACTCTCCATAGCATGTGTCTGGAAGTGAATGCATAACACTATCACACACTTAAAATACTTACGTCTTTCACATCTTTTTCCACGAATATGTTCTTTGCATAAACATCTGGGTAATTTTTTTGTCCCTGTACACATTCCACCATATTTACAAGTTGATTCTTCACAAGTCAATAGAGCATCTTCAGATTCTACAAAAAAATTTAACCAAAAAAAACTATCCATAGAAAATATTATTTTTAAAAATCCATATTACTATTCTCAATAAAATTAATACGAATGTCATTGTAGAATATGAGCACAATTACCCTCTCATACACAGTTGGCCTATCCTCACTAAACTGACCAATGACTTTCGCCCATTCAAACGGACCGTTACTAACATAATCACAGCATAAGACACATGAGTTCATGGACGTTCTTTTCACCGTGGATGACAACACCAACGACGACTGACTGATGCAAGTTGATGAACTTGACCTTGGTGGCCTGTTTGAATTTTTGGGCCTGCTATTATAACATCTATTATAACTTAGCGGTGTATCAGAAGCTGTTTTTCGACCTTTAGAAGGTTGTCTAACCGCAGGATTACCACCACTGCTATCTTTTATGATTAGCTCCAGTTCAGATATAACATCTGTCGATAGGTGGACTACATGCGGATCATTTACACTGACGGTCCCATGAGTATCCATACTTTCTACCACTGCATCTGCCTTTAATTCTACTTCACGTTCAAGTTCTACAGAACCTTTGTTCGACTCAGTAGTAGTAGGCATTCCGCTCGTCTCATCATGATCAGCCAAAGACAAATGTGCACTATCATGGTCATTATCACAAATATTCACTTTACCGCCTTTTATGTGGTCGACTTCATCATTTTGATAACAGCGATAGACGACTTGGATTCTTCCTCACGAATCCTTAAAGATTTTATGCCTTTACTCTGACTAGTAACACCTTGCAAACTTGTGAAGTCAGAAATGGACTCTGAAACTGTAACCCTTTTATTCTGCACAAACTGCGGTGTCGTCAGCAACACGCTATTCAACAATGGCTTACCATTTACAACTACAGGCGTCTTCACCGCACCATCATCGTCACACGATTCGGATTCAGAACTTGATGACGCTAACTTCAAATTTAGTTTACCATATTAGCAGTTAAGTTTATTTTAAACATCACACAAAGATGATGCAGTATTAACAATTGGATGACACAGTTTCGAGCATAAGCTATTGCTACTGATAATCATATCAATGTAGTCACATCCCTTCATAATTTGTCTGATATATATTTTCTCTCTTTCTGTCTCTCCAACTTCCTACTGTTGTTTTTTGCCACTTCCCATATCTCCGCGGTATAGGCGTTGCATCATTTCGATTGCACATGTGCACCGTGCTGAATCGATAGATGAAGGTTCAGTAGTCAACCTCTCTCTGTCTCCACAAAACTACATTAGATCATAGGGAATAAGCCCCTAATGGAAAACGGTTTCCCACCCAGATTTATAGACAAGAATCTCAAATCTAAGAAGACTTCCGAACAAGTCCAATCCGTTCCAAAGAAAATACTTCTGCTTAATCTAGAATTCAAAGATGATATTGAAGCAGAAATCCTTCGTAAACGCCTCTCCAAATCGCTGAGGAAAACATACTTCACTGCGAGCCTACGTTTGACGTCTTCCTGCAAGAAACTGTTCAGTTAGGACGTGAAAGACAAGCTGTCGCATTGGGCCACCTCAACGTGCATATACCAGTTTACTTGCTCTTGTGGAGCTGAGTATATCGGCCGTACCATGCTCCGACTTGAAAAATGCGCTTGCGAACACTACCCAGCCTGGCTAGTGAAAAGGAGACCAAAAACGTGTATACAGTTCAGTGACAGAACATCAGGTCAACTCACGACATTCAGCGCCTTTCGAAAAATCCTTCAAAGTAATATACAAGATTCAATCAAACCTATCAAAGGGAGTAAAATCAAGACATCTGGGCATAGTCGAGGCACTAATCAAATCAAATTTATCCTGCCTGTGGCTGGCCGAATAAAAGGCCGCCCTTTTTCCATTAAGTCTCAGTCAGACTGTCTCAAATTAAATAGCTTCCTGTCGGACATCAGTGAGTGGTCCAAACTAAATGGTCTCATGCTGAATCCCTCAAAATGCCAGACTATTGACTTCTCCCTTAGGCATAAACGAGATCTGCAAACACTAGTAAGTACTCATGAAGACTGTTGCATTGAGGGGACTAAAATTGAAACTAAGTCTAATGCAAAATACCTCGGTCTAGTTCTACCTTCTGACCTTATTTGGACCAAATGAAAACAAAAGAATCTAGAGTTATTTTCTTATGGTTAGTTAGGCAATCTTTGAATTTCTATGCTATTTTGAAAGAATTATCGTTTTCCAGCTCAACTCACTCACCTATTCATCAACTCTGAGTGTGTGTGTGTGTTTATGATTTGATTTGAATTGTATTGTCTTCAATAAATGCGACATCAAGTCCTTTTTTGAATATCAATGACAGAGACGAATTGGGAGAAAGGGAGAGGGAGAGTGGACAAGGATGACAGTGAGCTATTATTCTACGTCTCCATTGTGATTTCATTGTTTATGGTATGAGCTAATGTCATATTTAAGAGGGTTTATCAGTGGAGAAATTGATTGTAACTGGTTTTTAGAGGGAATTGTTTAAATTTTTTCATGTGAGTGTAGAAATTCGGCACTGTTGTGGTAGAATGTAATTCCATATTAGTAGATAAGTTTTCTTTAAATATCACACAGTGACCATGCTGTATTACCAACTGGATGACATTTCGAGCATAAATTATTGCTACTCATAATCATATCAGTTTAGCCACACTACTTCACAATTTGTCTTTTGTATATATTTTCTATCTTTCTCTCTCTTCAACTTCCCTTTGTTGTTTGTAACCACTTTCCAAATCTCCGGTAAAGGTGTTGCCCTATTTCGATTGCACGTGTGTTGAATCGATAAATAAAGCTTCAGTGATTAACCTCTTCCGTTCTCCACTTAACTATATTACCTTTTAATACTTTCATCCTGTCCCACTCACCCTACTGTGTGATGAATACATGCAAGTGAATCGAATTTAATGTCTGAGCTCTAGTTAGACTCTCTCCTGAACCGATCATATACACATTTAACTAAACCTAACTATGTTTACTGATTCTGAATGGGATGAATGAAAGTCTAAGTATTTCGTCTCTATCTAACCCACCGTCTTGTTTCCCTTTTATTCTACTGCCTAGCAATAGTCACCACAGATTTGCATTGAATTCCGTCTACTATTGACTTCATATATGTGAAGAACTGAGGGATATGTTCCGACTTGAACATAGTGAATGCATATGTCATCCACACATATCTCCACTTTAACCTAGAACCTAATTTACGCTCGAACCATGTCATCCAGTTGTTAATACTGCATCACTGTATGTGGTATTTAAAATAAACTTATCAGATATGGAATTGAATCGGTAGAATCTGTTGCCAACATATTGACATTCCGTCACTGGTGTTCTACATTGTGTAACTGCTGTTAAATTCCAGTAAATCAATCCTCTTCTTCCTATTCTTCTTCGTCATTTCTTTGCATTACAAGCGGAACATGGGGCTTTAAGATTTGAATTGTCACTAGTGCTGGCTGTATGTCTTTTCTACAAGGTGGGCTGACTAGCGTCACTCCCAACTAACCCCCTTTCGTAGATGTAATTTGCAATTCACATAGTTCGAGGAGATGAAATTTCCTCATAACTTCCTAAGGGAATGAAGAATATTCACATTACCACAATATATGATCAGCTTGATATCATGAATGGTAATGAAGAGAGAAAGCATAATCGCATAAAATTAAATATTACTGGTTGGTAGACTGACTTGAGTAGTTGTGTACCAGTGGTAGTTGCTTGGCAACCAACCAACCAGATCAAGGCGATTCAAATACTGGACTGTTATTTCACTCGTAGTTATTTAATAGAATGAGTTCATTGGTATTAAATAGTCGGAGGTAATCGACAGGAGGAAGCTATGGACCATGGTTTCAAGCTAGCCGGTACTCTTCAGCAAGACGTACCTGCAATCTGGAAGGAACTCACTTTATTTGGATATTTTAACTAACTCTTCAATTATTATTGGCTATTCCCCTACCCTGCATATCATTCTTCTGACGTTTACAAGTTATATGTTTGTTTGATCCTTATTATTTGTCTTTGTAACTATTGCACCTCTAATTTTAATGCTTCTCTTTGTGGTTGTATGACGACATTCATGGTGATTGTCTGATTCCAGGTGGTGACTGCTGTCATCGATCAAATGACTCAAAATAGAACTTGTTCTGTCTAACCTGATACATTAAGAAACTTAGACAGTCTGGAATCACCCAACCTCTAATTTCACAATTTGTCAACTCTTGTATCTTACCTATTCTACTTTACTGCTCCCCGTTAGTCTTTCCTGGTCTACTCAAAAAGGACTATACCATCCTGAGAAGGATGTTGAATGTAGTCAGTAGGACTATTGGTGTATATCTCAGTCAGCTCGTCACTACTTTAGTTGATAGGCATCTGAATACATGTGAAAAGTGGTCTAAAACCATACTCTCAGACCTCCAACACCCCCTCTATTCCCAACTCTCTCCTTGTATCTCATCGAGTAAAACCAGAAATGAGTATAAAAGAATCTATGCTCATACAACCAAGTACAGGAACTCAACGATACCATACTTGGCCCGTGTTCTAAGCGACAGAGACAATGTTAAGCGTGAAACCTATGACTTGCTTTGTTATTAACAACATAATTTTAGGCTCTTTTATTTCTCTCTTATTTTGTATTCTTTAGTGAACTCCTTCTTCAAACATACTTAGCTACCTAAAATATTAACATTGGCTTCCTTTTTTGTACTTTACTCTATTCCTTCTTTTGTGTATCCACTGGTTCTTACTCTGTCGGCACTATGAGTATTACAAAATTGTCCTGTCATTAACCACCACGTAATCATTAGTTTTGTGGTTGTTTTTTCTTATTTTCTATACTTTTCGGCAATATTAAACTGACAATCATTGTTTGTGAACGCCATAGCCACCACCTTAAAAACATTTTGTATTATTCAGGATTACTCACACTACCACAAACACTGCATTAGACCTTGGTAGACTTTGGTACTCTTTCGC